CGTGACCTCAAGGAATGGCAAGCACATTAATTGAAGTTGATTTTGTCACTAATTTAGATTACCCATATATATGCATAACATTACATGACATTAAATTTTCATAACAGATAGTTCATGAATTGAAGGGCTAAAATATATGACACCTACGATAGCTTGGGGCACAGGCCTGAATGGTTAGTTCGGGGGTGACCGGTTGAAGAGAGCTTCAACTCAGTGTCAAGGCTCTACATCGTCTCGGTGGAGTAGCTCTGGGTACAAGTTGAGGTCATACAGGCAAAGGTCGTAGTTTCAAACTGATCCTTGTGGTCGATGGATCGCGGGGTCGTTGAGATGACCTGACCTAGGAGTCATAACAAGAGAATGAATAAAGTCCTGGTAAGGATGACAAATGTATCTCACTAATTGAAATCAATGATTTTAAAGACGTGTCATACTAGAAAACGAGATGTGGTATGATCTTTTCCTAGTAATAGCCAACTTGGGCAATAAGATATCCTCTATATAAAAGGCGGTTACCAAGTTCTATTTTATGTATTACGCCCTATCATACAACATTGATCATTCGGCGTGTTTTGCAGGTCATTGGAGCTCTAGGCGAGAAGCGGTTCATGGTTGTACCTATCTATATCCGGTTTGAAAGAAATTTGAGTATCAAAATACATGTTGTATTCCATGCTTCGTGAATATATCCCATGGCAAAATGAAAGACAATTGAAAAGACATAAATTCTTTTATTCACTCACATTTTTCATCTATAAATTATAATTATTTAATATTATATTATATTTTATATCGCATGAATCCGAATCATTATATTAATATATTTTTCTATTTTATTTAAGAAAATTTTAATTTCATATAAAAAGTTATATTGCAATGGCGATAAATGTCACAGAATTGTGGTAACTCTGAAATTTCACGAAATATTATATCGTTAAAATTTGGACCGTTGGCAATTCAGGCCCAGAAAAAATCGAAGGAATGGGTATTAAAGCAAATTTTATGTAATGTGGGACGAGGGCCCGGTAAGAGTTAAGAGCCACTTGAGTAATTTTCTTTGGTCATGGGTCTAATGGGCCCATAACTATTGATAATTAATTAATTAATGAATGTCACCTGCCTGCCTGAAACTGGTAGGTAGTGCATTGAAACTTGAAGGTGTCCGTCCCATTAACTGCCCTTGTCTGTACCATTTTCAATTAACACAACTGTCCTTGCATGAGCTGATTTTTTGTTTTTTTTTTTATTATTTTTCTTTCAATATGATAGAGGTATTATATAAAAGCGCACAAATGTGTAAAAGTACAACCACCAGTAGAATATAAACAACTAAATGCTGAATATAAGCAGCCAACAACTGAATAAAATGAGAGGACATGTCAAAAGACCACCTAGAGCCGACCCAACAGGGTAATATTCGAGAATATACACAAAAGCAAAAAACACAAACGACCTGAACAGGATAATGTCCGAGTGCACGATCCGAACATGATAATAAAGTCGCACTCGGGCTAACTTAGGCCAAAGGCCCAGACCTAAAACACAATAACAAACACAAGACAAATACAGACACAAACGACACAAAACAAAAATAACATAAACAAAAATAAAATAACCTAGTCCTTCCCCTGCAATCGAACGGGCTCAAACCAACAGTGAACGATCAACACAAGAAAGATTCCAAGCCCAAGAATCACTACCGAAACTGCACAAGCGCATATACAGTAGCCAAACCGAATCCCTAACCAATCCCCGAATCGACCCGTCTCTAACCGAGAGAGAAACGAACAACCCTCACACCATAGAAGTAGCGTCCAATAAATATGAGTGATAGTATGAAAAAATAAGAATGGATCGTAGCAGTTGGATATGATATATGAATGCTCCAGGATTGGTCAAAGTGTACAAAACTAGTCAAAGAGGCGGTAGCACTTATGTGAATATGAATTCTTTTGATTTTTAACGTGAGGCGTTTTCGTCCTCGGGTATAATACACTGGTACACTAATGTGCATTTCCACAAGCATTAATGTGCACTTCGTCTAATAGTATTGTGCATCTTGAAGCTTTGGGGCGAAAGATTTCGAACCTTGACTGTATGGGACCAAAGCCGACTTTGTGTATATTTGTGTTTTAAAATTTAAAATATATAGTCGAATCGAAGTATAAATTATCAAACCAAAAAATTATGTTCTACCGGTTTTGATCTATATTGTGAAATCTGATAATCATTAATGTGTCATTCATCTCATTCATCTGGACCAATAACAATTTTGTCCCACACCAAATTGAAACTGAACCGGGTTACCTTAATTAAAATAATATTTAATTTTACTTATTAAAAATACATTTAGTATTTTAGTAATTTAATTTAATAATTTTTATATTATTATTGATTAACAAGACATAATATGTATAAATACCGAAATCGATAATGTGCATTCTTATATAGACAAATGGGTATTTGGTATAACATTATTGTGTAATATATTAAGCGACTATTTTTTTTGTCATTATTATATATATATATATATATATATATATATATATATATTGTTTTTTGCATTTCATAATTAGAAAACTGTAATAATCTATATAATAATTAACATTAATGTTCATTTATCAAATTATTGAATAATAAAAATATGATTGACATATATATTCGTTTATATTAATATTTAACATTAAATTTTATTGAAAAATAAAATAATATATGTATATTTTAAATATAAATAATATTTTTATATAGTTTGATCAGTTCTTTTTTTCATTTATTTATTTATTTTGTGAATAAGGTAGAAATTAGAACGAAATAACCTAGATTTTAATATCTGTAAAAAATGCATATTGTTATGCCAATGTGCATTTTCGAATGCTTCGATATACATTCGGTCTAACACTCCGATATATATTCGGTCTAACACTGCAGTGCATTTTAATAGCCACTTGAGTGCATAATGTTTATAATTATTGTGTATTTAGTCCATATTATTTTCTGTGAAAATCTAAGCTAAAATTAAACTAAATAATTAATTGAAATATTTGTTTTATTAATCAAGTTAAATTAAATAATTTAACTTAAATAATATTTATATTTAATATTAATAATATGTTTTGATTGAGACATAGTAATAAATCATTAAAATCAATATTGTGCATTTGCACAAACAATAATATACAGTTCGTACAACATTATTGTGCAAAATATTAATCGATTATTTTTATGTACAATTCATTTTTTTTATAAACTTTATTAATGTGTTTTCATTTAACATTATTTTGTACTTATCAATTTATTTATATAGTAGAAATATATTAGTAGTTTTAATTATTTTTATTTAATATTTTATATTATTATTTATTAAAAAAAACAACTACACTTAAAAAAAATAACATATGAAATATCAAATTTGATGATGTACATTTACTCAACATACACTAATCTTCATTTACTCAACATCACTGTGCGGTACATCGAAAGTGTAATTTTTTGTACATTGCAATTTTAGGATTTTTTAATATATATTTATTATCTTTTTATAAAATAAAAAAAAAATAATTATTCTTTATTCAGTTTTGTCGCTTATGTTATTTTATTTGTTTGTTTTTTTAACTTTCTTTTTATATATAAAACAAAATCATACTAAATTGAAGGCATTGAGTATTCTTTGAACGCATAAATATGCACTCAACCGAACACTATTGTACTATTGTGCAGTCTAGTAGTTACTATTAGGGGTGTTCACGGTTTGGTTTTAACCGGAAAAACCTGTCAATTCGGATCGCGAATCAGTTAAATGGTCTATTAAAAAAATCTTAAAAAATTTGATGGTTAATTTTTTAAAAATTTAGAATAACCGGTCCGGTTACATGCGACAAACCGCCGGTTTAAACGGACCAGACCGGTAAATGTTAAAAAACTATAACAAATATATATACATTCAGTCATTCACTATGACCGACAAATACAATACATTCACTATCACTTTTTTGGCATTTTTGCTAATTTATATAAAAATTGAAGGCCCAAAACAAGAATTTTGGATTTAACCGGTTAACCGTCAAACCGGACCATCCAATGCGGTTCGAATTGTGGCCGCCCATCCAATGCGGTTCGAATTGTGGCCGCTTAAAAAATAAAATCGGTCCGGTTATAGACAAAAAAAAAATTTAACCGTTAGGTCCAGTTTGATCATGGTTTAGGCTAAAATCGGACCAATCTGGACCGTGAACACCCCTAATTACTATTGTGCATTATTGTTTTGTACTATCGTGAATTTTGTAGAATGAATTTTTTATGCGCAACAAAATCGAACATAAATAATCTATTATTTGTAATGTAAAAATATATATTTAGTATTTCTATACTTATTTAATATTTTCTATTTTTTTAAACACATATTATATATGTACAAAAAACAAATATGCAAAATAATTTTTTTTTATATATTTTACGAAATTACAGATTTAACCTTAATAAAAATACAACCAGAATATCCTAATTACAAGGCAGTCCTTCATTTATATCTAATTCACAAAATAAAGCCCCACAAATTCAAGCTTGTTGAAGCTTCAACCCCAATTCGCTGATATTCCCTTTAGGACGGCGGCGGCCGGAATGCGGAAATAATACTGCGGCGGCGTTCGATTAACGGCACGAGACGCAGCGGTGGTCGGATGGCAAAACGTGACGGCGGCGGCGGTTGAATGGTGTGAAATAGACGGTAGCGCACGAATGACCGGCGGTGAGCAGTAGACGGCTGCGACCTACGACGTGTGGACAGACGAAATCGAGGCGATCTCCTCCTCTTAAAGTAGCGAGGTCGACGCCGTGTGGTGGGTGGACGACGGCGGACGAGGTCCTTCACGGCCAATTTCACGCCAGACATTGACGAGGGTCGGGATGGACTGAACTCGGAGTCTCGGAGAGAGCGAACTCGTGCAGTGTCGTTAGTTCCGAGGCGGCGGCGACGGCGAAAGGATGACCGCCGTGTGAAGAAGATGGTGACTGGGGCCTGGTCTGTGGTGTGCTTTCTGCAAGAGAGAGAGAGAGAAAATAGTCTGAATGATTATGTTCGTTGGGTGGGGGAAGTGTATTTACTGTTTCGTGGTGGGACCCACTTATGTGTTTAATGATTGATGATAAAAGTCTAAAATATCCTTAACGTTTTGGTTTTTTTTTTTAAAGTTATTGGATCATAGAGAAATGTTCACCTACCCACGATGGGTATAAATTAATATGCCCACCGCGCATTCATTGATGATGTTAATATGTTAATATGTCCACTGTTTATGTGACATGCACACATTGGTGATGTTAATATGATAAAAAAATTGAAACTTGTAAGAACTATTCACCTTGGAAACATGTGGACTTGAATT